GAAGACTGCCTCATCCTTCCTGGAAAAACATTTTGTGGATTTGAACTACTGCTCTTCTGGTTAGCAGGTGAAAGTTTTAAATCAATGCCACCAGGGCTCTCTTAGAAAGAACCACAGAGGGGAGAAAAATTGCCAGGTAAGCATAACATTTAGTAAACACAATTAAATGTTTAAACTCGCCAAAATCCTGAGCATGCCACAGAATTGGGAGTTGTAGCAGAAGGGTTTAATGTTTAATTACAAAATAGAGCTCTCAGGTGCTGAAAGGGCAGCGTACATTCCTGAAATTTCTAGCCTTTTTCGAATTCTTTGTTTTCTCTCATCATCATTGACATTCCTAGATGCACAGAGTACACTCGATGTTGGTTCCCATTCCTCTTCCCCTACCTAATACCTCAGGATCCTTTAAAGATGATGGCTTCCTGGATAAATTTTAACTAAAAGATTCACAAAGTGACTAAGAAAAAAAAAGAAGGTACTTTTCCCAAGGCTATTAAGATAACTTTTTTTTTTTTAAAATTTGCACATTGTTTCACCCGTTTTTCACTCCCACCACGCTCTGGTTTTGAAGATAGAAGCAGGGGGGAGAAATTTTAAACTATGATACAAAGTCAGGGTCTATTATGTATTTTTTAAAAAATTTTATTCTTTTTGCGTGAGTGTACCGTCAAATCAGATCTGACTGGTACAGGAGGAGATTGTCCCTCCTTCCTCGGCAGAGCATCTGGTGAATTCGAACCGTGTGCCTCTGGGATTGTAGTTGCAGATCCTTGCCACTAGGCCACCAGAGCTCCCCTATTATGTATTTTTATATTCTCAACATTTAGTCTGGTCTTTGGGACAAACTGATGCTAAATACTGTAAAATTTAAGTCTCTCAATCAATTATTTGAATCATATATGATTTCTTTTTATTTCTTGTCACTACTTCAGAAACAGAATACAGGTCTATCTTAGCATTTTCTAGAAGTACATGGATGTTTAGGGTGGGCATGTTATCTGTGGAGTACCACAGACTGGGAAGAAACATATCCTTGGGTTTTTATAAGCACAAAACTACTCTAGGATTAAATCCATAGATGTTTTAATCTTTCACTTAAGGACTGGACCACAGACATAACCACATATGGCAAGTTTACAGTGAAGTGGAATATGTTCCATTGAATGTGTGGGAGGTAGATGTGTACTGCGGTCAGAAGGTCTGAATCTGGTAAGCGGACCAGTCAGTGACATGAGACCTTCAAGTCCACTTACCACCAGTGGTCATCAGTTTGAGCGTCTGGTAAATGGGTATGTAATTCACGTCTATGGCTGACTCTGAGAAGAATGGGAATCACAGAACACTTGACTGTGCTAATTTGAAACCTATACCTGGACCAAGAGGCAGTCGTCAGAACAGAGCAAGGAAACACTGCATGGTTCAAAATTGGGAGGGGCTTATGCCAGGGGTGTGCCCTGTCTCCATACTTTTTCAACCTGAATGCAGAACAGATCATCCAGGAGGCTGGGCTCTATGAGGAGAAATGTGGTGTCAGGATTGGTGGATGATCTTATCAACAATCTGCGTTATGCAGATGACACAACCTTGCTTGCTGAAACTGAGGAGGACCTGAAGTGCTTGCTGCCGAGGGTCAAAGACTGCTGCCTTCAATATGGATTGAGGCTCAATGTCAAGAGACAAAGATTCTCACCACTGGATCAATTGGCAGCATCAGGATGGATGGTGAACAGATTGAAATTGTTCACAGCTTTAGTTGGCTTGGCTCCACAATCAACACTCTTGGCACCAGCAGCCAGGAAATTGAAAGACGTATTACGATGGGAAAGCCTGCTGTTAGGGACCTCTCTAAAGTACTGAAGAGCAATGGTGTATCTCTGGAGACTAAGGTGCGCCCGATACAGGTCATGGTCTTTGCAATCGCTTGTTATGCATCAGAGAGTTGGACAATGACTAGGGAGGACAGAAGGAGAGAGGATGCTTTTGAGCTGTGGTGCTGAAGGGTACTGAATGTACCATGGACTGCTAAGAAAACAAACAGATTCTTCCTGGAGAGGGTTAAACCAGGCTACTCCTTGGAGGCAAGGATTCTGGGGCTTCGTCTGACATACTTTGGTCATGTTGTAAGGAGGAACCAGTCCTTGGAGAGGGACATCATGCTTGGGAGGGTGGAGGGATGGCACAGGAGACCCTCTAGGAGGTGGATTGATTTAGTGACTGGGGTAATGGGGATGGGTGTGTCAGAGACAGTGAGATTGGCACAGGGCAGAGCAGAGTTTAGGGATGTTGTACACAGGGTCACTATGAGTTGCAAGTGTCTCAACGGCACATAACAACAACAATAATTCGTGTCTTAGAATGAAAAGGGACAACAGATGCCAAAAGGTTCTACAAATTATCACATGTGCAACTGTCTGTAAGATCTTTGTGGTTATTACATAACAAAAATGAACCAGCTTCTCAAAATACTATATGAGACTGTTGGAACATGGGTTTCCCTCAGGACCAGCTACTATTGCCCTTGTTAAAATTAAGAGAATGAACTGATCTATTCTTTGGGCACTTTAAAATCGGTATGGTTCAGAAAAGGAGCTAAATGAACTCAATTTTACTTGCTATTCCCCTGGAAAAGAAAGTAAGTAGATTTTTATAAACTAGTCACTCTTTAATGAAGGAAGTTCTCCATTCCAGAGGAATGGTTTTCTAGTTAGGTATAAAGTAAGATAAGAGCCATTTAGGAGTTGTATGAAAATTAATGAGCCACAGACAAAAGAAAATAAAACGTTATTGCCAGGTAAATCCCTCCAGCCAACATGGACTGCCTACAAATTTACAGCTAGGATTCAATCTAATCAAGGCAGGAAGAAGCCCACTCTTTGTCCTCATTTAAAATAGCCAAAATTGCAGCAGAGGCGTAGCTTAGCGTTGAGACTATAAACTCTATTTGCTCAGAGGAGGGAATAAGGATGCAGTGGGAAGGAGTGAGTTGGGAAATGGGGGGAAACTCCAATACACTAGGCAGATTCCAAATGCCCAGGCATGCACGAAGCTAGCCAGGCGAGACCTGGGGCCCAGAGCTAACCTGGCAAAGCGCTGCGCTGCCGGCATCACCTTGATCCCAGCTTGCTCTAGCCGTCTGCGCTTTTGGATTTCAGCATCTTTTTCTTCAGACTTGGGACCCAGTGCCACTGTGGCCTCCTCTGAGGGAGACGTCTCCTTACCACTGCCATCGGGTGACATTAACCCACCATCGGAAGGTTTCCCACCAACATCCACATGGTCTGCTTGGTCCTCTTCACAGGACGACCCCACTTCACTTCCCTCTTCCTCTATTGTTTCAGGAAAGCTAGTGAGTTGGACAATCGAGTTAGCCAAATTTATGGACTGAACTGGGCCATCAGACCCCGGGTCATCTCCCAGCCAATCTGACATTATTTTTCACTTAGGGAAAAAAAAGTGTGTGGGGGGGCAATAATCATGGCATGTAGTATGATCCTTCCAATGTAAAGGATGTTAAACGGAGACATTTGTTAACTAATACAGCATACTTTCAGCAATGATTAAAAGCTACGCCAAACTTGATATTGAAAATCCCAATTGTTTCCTGCTGGAAAGGTAAAATTCATTAGTGTTGTTAAACATGTAAAACTTCGTATACAATGTTTGTTCAGGAAAAATCATAGATAGGAATGACAGACAATTAGAAATTACTGTGAAAAAACAAGGTCGTTTTCCTGAAAGAATTAGACCACGTAATGCTTTTCTTTGACTGCACGAAGCTTCTTGAAAGGAGGAACTCTATAATTTACTAATAACTAGGAAATAACACTAGCACACAATCGATGTATAATATGTACTTATTGAGCATATGAACACATAAATACCAAAAACATATAATAAAAGAGTAAAGAAAAGAGATATTTACTCAAAAGATGTGAGAAAACAATTTATCTTTCAGTTATTGTGACTTTCTACATGTGATTTGTAAACACATTCCTCATATTCCTTGTATATAAGATGTTTGCATCTAGATAAGGGTGTCTTTTTGCAGCTAGTCTAACAGGATTGGGAGTTGATAAGACATAGATGACAGCCTTTTAGCAGTGTTCTCTAAGTCCTGTTGATATACTCACTAAAAAATACCAAGACAAAAAACCCACAAAACCCCAAACTCACTATTGTTGATTGAAAACTGACTCATTGCTAATCTTCCAGGAGGTTTTCAAAAGCTGTAAAATCACCAAGGAAGAGATTGCCCATCTTTCTCTCACCGAGCAGTAGGTGGGCTTGAACTTTAGACTAGCCTGCCCTTAGGTTGGCAGCACAACTCCTTACCCATTAGGCCATCAGCTGTGTGGGGTTGGTTTTTTTGGGTTGTGTGTGTGTGTGTGTGTGTGTGTGTGTGTGTGTGTGTGTGTGTTTTAAATCTGCTATTAGAGAGTTCTGACAGATGTTTGAAAAATAATGTGAAAAATTAGTAAGTCAGATATGAAAGAATGACTATTATATGCTCCCATTTCCATGAAATATCCAGTTTGGCAAGTGGCTAGAACAACTCAAAACAAATTCATGGCTACCAGAAACTGAGGAGGAGAAGAGAAGACTGGGGTCTTGCTGCTTCAGGGCACAAAGTTTCTATCAGGGTTGATGGAAAAGCTCTGGAAATGAAGGCGGAAATGGCTTTGGAGTATTGTAAATGCAGTTCATGTCACTGAATTATACATGTAAGAAGTAGTATTTTTATCTATCGACATTTGTATTACAATACAAGATAGCATGCTTATTAGACAAATGTTTGTTGAACATTGTGTGCCTGGCACTGTTCTAGGTGCCCTCAGGAAGCTTATATTCACAAGCTGTCTCCAAGGCTGCCCTCCTCACCTCCACTTGTCATTTGATATCAGAGTTGTACAGTGACTATTCAGCCTCACGTCCAGCAGCCCTATCCCTGGTAACATTTGCACATTCAGGCCAGAAAACAAGCAGCAAAGCTCAGGACTTACCTGAAGGGCCTCTCGCCACCCAAGGGGGACGTGGCAGTGCTCCAGCTCTTCCTGTACTCCTCTCGCTCCGCCTTCTTCTTCCTCAGAGGAGCGGGGACGTAGGCTGTCTGGTTGCTTTTGTTGGGGAGGTACTGGTTAAAAGGCACTGCTGATTTCGGCTCACCGTGGGAAGTCCGCCGTGCAGACATGTCATCCTTCTTCACATCTGGTAGCTTCCGATGTGGCAAGTCAGACTCGGAATCACTTCCTCTCCCTGAACAAGAGAGGATGGGCGCAGAAAAAGCATGTCAGGTTATCAGGAAATTCCCACTGGCATGTGCACTGTATGAGAGATGTGGTTACATCGGTGGGTCTCTAGGATTCCTTCCTGAAATTATTCACTTAACAAATATAAAGTATCACTCTAAATTAGGCTATTCTGAGGGGGGGAAATCATTCAACATTAATCAAGAGGGAGCAGGAAAAAGGAACAATTTAAGAAATAGAGGGAAGGCAGGCTGTATCTCAGAGTTATAGCTGGCAACACATTCACAATAGAATTATATGCCTGCTGAGATTATGTGACTTTAAAAAGAAAAAGCTTAAATTAACCAGTGAAGTTGTTTTTAGCCACCTGCTACCTGTTTTTTCACTGTGCTAGGTATTTGGACATATATGAATAATAATGGAGGGTTTTTTTCTTTGCGGTTTCCTAAATCAATTCATGGAATATTGAAGGAATGTAACTTATAATTTAGGAGCACACAACAGAAATACAATTGGAATTCAGAAGTGACCGATTAGGGTTATAATAACAAAGTCACATGATTTTGGTTGCCACGCTCTTGTCGTTAGGTGGCATCAAGCCAACTCTGGCTCACGGCAACCCTGTGAACCACAGATCTGAGCCCTGCCCTGTCCTGCACTGTCCTCACAATCTCCGATATGTTCCAGCCCATTGTTACAGTCACTGTGTCAATCCTCCTCCTTAAAAGTCTTCTTCTCTGGTTACCAGAGGCAATTTTTCTTCGCAGTACCCAAAACAAAAGAAAAAGGAAAAAAAACCCAACAAACCTCCCAGCTCTCATGCTGGGAAAGATGGAAGATCAGTAAAAGACAGGAAGGCTTTCAGTGAGATGGACTGATGCAGTGACTGCAGCGCAGGGCCCCAGCAAGGCAGACATCGTGAGCATGGCACAGGATGGGGCAAAGCGCAGATGATCTGTTATTCGTGGAGTTGATATGAGTTGTAGTTGACTTAAAGACTTCTAAAGGCAGCATGGCCCTAGAATCAATCCAGACTTTTGATATTCATGGAGGCTGGATGAACCCTTCAAACTATTGTCCTGAGATAATCTTCAAATCTTAAACAAACAATACCTGGAGGTCTAATCCAAACCAACTACTACTAGCTGAACTACTGAATGTCTACCTTGAGCACTGTGCTCTTTCAAGCTAGATGAGATCAAATTAACAACAGAAACTCAGATTAGATAGGAAGCTTAGGGAACAATGATATTATACTAGTGGAGGAAAAGAACAACTTAGACAAAGAGGACAAGAATGGTTGCACAGCTAGAAGAATATAATCAATGTTACAAAGCAACTAGAAATTGCTAAATTGGTACATGTAATGTCATTTATATTCTCAGCAACAATTACAAAAACTTCGTGTGTGTGTGTGTGTGTGTGTGTGTGTGTGTGTGTGTGCGCGCGCGCAATCCCCTAAATCTAAACTCACTGTTGTGGAGTTGATCTTGACTCACAAGGACCCTCAATTGCTTTCCAAGCCTAAAATCTTTAAGAGAGGAGACTGCTCATCTTTATGCCATTGAGCAGGTGGTGGGTATCTCTATCAACCCACCTACCCAGCTATCTAAACAGACTTTATGCCGCTATCATCTATTTTTTTTTTCTTCTTCTGGTGCCTTATCCTTTCTACTGGTATTTTGAGATTGAGAAATTATATTAATCACAGTGTTTATTCCGGTGCTTTTTCACATGGTGGTCATTCTCAAACTATGTGACGAACAAATGGATTATTTGAGGTTTAAAAGTCTTTTAGACAACCCAAAGGAATTCATTGCTGCCCCATCATCAGTCTTTTGTTGGGCATGTACTTAACTCTGACTTATGGCAACTCTATGTGTATCAAAGGAGAACTGTGCAGGGTTCTACAAACTGTGTAGGTCATATAAACCCATAGGTAGGGTTTTCAATGGTTGATTTTTGGAAGTAGATTGACAAACTTATCTTCCAAGGAGATGCTGAGTAGTGGACTCAAGCTTCCAACCTTTTAGTTAGCAGGATGAGTTAACTACTTATCAACTTTGTCATGTCACTGCCTTAAACCTCAGTTTCCCAATCCGTAAAATGAAGATCCCATATATTTCATAAAGCTGTTGGAAGGGTCAAACATTACAATCCAGATCAGAAGTTTGGTATAGCAGTTGGCACAGTGAATGTCAGCTATGTACAATTTAATAGTTCTGGGTCATCAATTGTTGTTGTTAAGTGCTGTCGAGTATGACCCATAGAGACCCTATGCACAATATATCTGAACCCTGTCCTATCCTGTACCATCCTCATACTTCCTGACACATTAGAGCCCATTACAGCAGTCACTATGTCAATCCACCTGGTTGGGGGTCTTCTTCTCCTTTGCTGACCCTCTGCCTTTCTGAACATCCTGTCCCTCTCCAAGGAATTGCCCCTCCTAGCAACATACCAGAAGTATGTGAGGCAAAGCTTTATCATCTTTGCGGCCAAAGAACACTCTGGCTGCACTTTCTCCAAGACATATTTGCTTGTTCTTTTGACAGTCCATGGGATGTTCAGCATTATTCTCCAACACCACACTAAAAGGCATAAATTCTTCTCTCATCTTTATTCACTAAACAGCTCTCAGATGCATAGCAAGTGATCAGAAAGTCCATGGATTGAATCAGATGCATCATAGTCTTCAAACTGACACCATTACTTCTCAATGATACACATATACTTTTTTTTAATTTGATTAACAGCCAGTAGGCTGTTTGGTCTTTTTAATTAGCAATCAGTTGTGGGCTTGGAGACTCTTAAAACCTGGTAGGTAAGGCTTTGTGACTAAAAGTTGGTTGGGAAGACTAATTTGCTACTAGAGGTACAAACTATCTGTTGTATTTGGGAAGGGCACTATTTTAATTGGTACAGCACTTGTCTATCTGCTTGCTGTACTGAGATAACTTGTGAATTGCTGTGATCCTGAGAGCTGTGCCATACATAGGTGTGTCATATGCCACAAAGGTTATCTATGGTGGACAGGTTTTAGTAGATCTCCCAGATTAAAACAGATTAAGAAACAACAACAATGCATGCAAATGATTATATGAAACATGACGTGAATGAAGAATAGTGTGAAACACACTGTGTATGAATTTGGTAAATAAAACCAATTAAAAAAAATAAAACAGATTAAGAAGTAGGTTTGGCCATCTACTTCTTAAACAACAGACCTTTAACACCCCTATGAATAGTAGAGGAACACAGATAATTATAATATTAATGGTAAAGTCATAAATGGAAGTCAGTTGAGATGGGAAAAATAATGGCAAACATTCTTTAATAATTGGAATATGGAATGTATGCAGCTTGAATGTTGAAAAACTAGATACTGGGAAAAATGACATGGAACTCATGAACATTGACATTTTAGGAATTAGTGAGAAAAAATGGACTAGCTTTGGCCACTTTGAATCAGATAATCACATGGTATACTACGTTGGGGATGAAAAACAGAATGGTGTTGCATTCATAGCCAAAAAGTTAATTCCAAGTTCTATCCTAAAATACAATGTTTTGAGTGATGGATATTATCCATACTCATACAAGGAGGACCTGTTAATATGACTATTATTCAAATATACATTCTTTTACCAAATCTTGCAATCTGAAATTTATCAAACATGCAATCAAGATGGGCTAATGATAATTTGTGACTGGAATGTAAAAGTTGGAAACAATGAAGAGGGATCATCTATAGCAAAGTGGAATTCCTAGGCTTGTCCCTGACATACCAAAGTAACCTCCTCATCTGTAAAACAGGAATGAAATAATTTCCTCTACTTTAAAAAGAGACCTTGACATTAAGGAAGACTGTAAAAATTAAAAGCATTTTCTATAAACAAGTCACTCATTGTTGCACAGAAAATATTCAGTTTATGAATTATTCACAGCTCTAGCTTTCAGTCTTCCTCTTAAAATTTTGACAATTTCATAACTTCATTCACAACTTAACTCCCTTTCCACTATGAGATGGTTTATTTTGCTTCATAATAAGATGCTTAGATTCACCTGTGAATTGCTTTCTATAAACTAGTGCAAATACTGTCTTGTTTCCCCATTTGATTCCCAATTTATAAAGGTGGAAAGAGAAGGAGTATCTTTCCTATGGCTGTTTAATAGCATCTTATTTTGTTGTTGTTGCTATTATGTACCATCAAGTCAGAAGTGATTGCTAGTAACCTTTCTGCAGGCTTCTAGAAGTACTAAGTCACTACTTCTGAATGTCCTACAGAGATTTGAAGTATGTAGCTTTGGGTTGGCAGCATAATTCCTTCCCCACCAAGCTACACGGAGGGAGCTCTGATGTACTATTGGTAAGAATGCACAGTGGAACGGCAACCAGATACAAGGATGGTAAATGTGTCTTACACACCTTGAGCATGTGTCTTACACACCTTGAGCATGTCATCAGGAGGGGGGAAAGTCTTTGGAAAAAAAACTTCATGTGTGAAAAGGGAGAGGATCAGTGAAAGAAGGGATGACCTTCAAGGAGATGGATTGACAAAGTCACTGTGACAATGGGCAGGAATACAGTAGAGATCATAAAAATGATGCAGGACCAAGCAAGGTTCAGGTCTGTTGTTCAAAAGGTTGCTGGGAGTTGTAGTCAACTTGGTGACACCTAACAGCAACAGCAACAGCAGCAGCAGCAGCAGCAGCAGCAGCAGCAGCAGCAGCAGCAGCAGCAGCAATGGACTTGAAAAATCTTGGTTTCCAACTTCATCCCGTGTAGATAAGTGGTTTCTCTATCTATGTTCACCAAAGTTAGAACAATGCCACATCACACATGACAATGTTATTTTATGCGAGTCTGACTTTTCCATTTCAAGGGGCTACATTTCCCTCTTCAAACAGTCAGGTGTTTTTCTTTCTTATAAAATATTTTTGGCATCTTCATTAAAGCCCTTTGCTCTTTTAATCCACTTCTAGTACTTGAGTTCTTCATTTCTGTCCCTTAAGCCATCTGTCATGCAGAAGATAAGACTATTCATCTAAGCCAGTACATCATATTTGTGAACTCTGTTCTTCATTTTGAAAGTACATGAGTGGAAGGAAGTATTATTGTTCTTCAGTGAAGTCCACTAGGTCACCCTTACACAATGTGAAGGAAGCTCTAGTGGTATAGTCAATGGGAATTGTGCTGGTGGCACCTCTCGGGGAGTTTGAATCCACCAACGGCTCCTTGGGGGATAAATGGGCAATTTCTTTTCACAGAATTTATAGTCTCTTAAAAACCTGCTGGAAGGTCAACCCTGAGTCAGTTCCAACTTATCAGCAATGAGTATGAGACATGGCCCTAAAGGTGACTTAGGGGGGTGAAGGTTTGAAGGGATTGATTGGTGAATCAACCTAGGAGAGCCACAGTGTCATGAATGCCCTTGCCAGGGAGCACTCATATCCAACCCACAGAATCAAGGTGCTTCTCTACCAGAGAGTCACTGAGGATCACAAATAAGCAAGCTCTTGTAGCCTATAGCGAAGGAACAGTCCAAAGACAGGCAATTCTAATGCACCAGCTACTACGCAGGTGATTTACAGCCTCTGAAAACCTACTGGAGGGTCAGCTATTAAGTTGATTTTGACTCGATGACAAATAAAACCAGCAAGAAGAACTGATGCCTTTGAGCTGTGGTTCTGGAGAAGGGTGCTGAGTCTCCTATGAACTGCTAAAAGAGCAAATTTATATGTCTCAGAAAAAGTGCGGCCAGAGTGCTCCTTGGAGGCAAAGCTTCCTCTCAATTCTTGGATATGCAGCTAGCCTAGGCTGTTCCTTAGAAAGGGACATCATGCTTGGAAAGACGGAGGGTAAGCAATGGAGAGTAAGACCTCTAACAAGATGAACTGACCTGGTGACTTCAGGAATGGGCTATAGTGTGTCAGAGATGATGAGGATAGCACAGGATACGGCAGGGTTCAGTTCTGCTGTTTAGAGGGTTGTTATAAGTCGTACTTGACTTTGACACATAATAACAGCAACATGCTGATTTGACAAAGAATTTGGAGAGTTTCATGTTAAGATTTCCTCAAATGTACTGTGAATCCTAGGAAATCCAGCTGCAAGACTTTTTTTTTAATCCTTCCAAATATGGGCATGCTTATTAGGACTAGAAATCTTCTTGATTAGCATCACTTTTAAAAACATACCATACACTCTTATGAAATCCAACATCCATTTGGCTAGAATCATATCACATTTTTTAAAAGGCAGATAAAAATGTGTTGTTTTTCTTTAAAGACCTCGTTGAATCTTGATTGTTTACAAAAGCATGTGCCTGTAGGTATCAGACTTAATGGGTGAAATGTGTCAAGTGCCTTTTCATGGATCAAATTTTTGTGGAATTCAGTTTAATATTATTCTTTACATGGAAAAAAATATGAAAAGGCTCTCTCTTATCCATCTTAATTTAGACAAGCGAAAGTGCACCTCAGTATAGATTTGTACATTATTTGCAATCACCATCTTAAACTCTTTCAAGATGTGGCTCTTTATAAACTCTGAACCCCTCAAAGCTGGTGACAGAGTAAGTAAAGGACTCGCAGTGATAAAAACAAAACAAAACAAAAACCAGAATGAAGAACATATATGTTGTTGTCATTATGTGCTTTTGAGTCACCTGCAACTCATAGCGACCCTGCTCCATACTGTGTCAATCTTCCTGTCTCTGACACACCTATCCCCATTATCCCAGTCACTGAATCAATCCATCTCATCAAGGGTCTTCCTCATTTGCACTGTCCTTTCACCCTCCCAAACATGACCTCGCTTTCCAAGGACTGGTCCCTCCTTGCAACATGTCCAAAGTATGTTAGATGAAGCTTCAGAATCCTTGCCTCCAAGGAGCAGACTGGCTTCACCCTCTCCAGGACAAACCTATTTGTTCTCCTATAAGTTCAAGGTATATTCAATACTCTTCTCCAGCACCACAGCTTAAAGGCACTAATTCTCATTCTATTATCTGTAGTCATTGCCCAGCTTTCTGATGCATAGCAAGTAATTGCAAAGAAAAAAAAATCTATCTATCTATCTATCTATCTATCTATCTATCTATCTATCTATCTATCTATATCTATATCTATATATATCTAAATAGTATAGATTAAATACAGGAAGTATCTCTGGTGGTGTAGTGGGTAAGGAATTACGCTGCCAACCCAGTGGCACACAGATCAAATCCACCAGCTGCTCTAAGAAAGAAACATGGGCAATCTCTTCTTGTGTGATTTACAGTCTCTGGAGGGTCAGCTGTAAGCCAGTTCCCACTTGATAGCACATAGTAACAACACATACAGTAAAACCTGTGAGGGCCGTAACCTGTATCAGACAGAAACTTGAAAGAAAAGTATTTTTCCCACCCACTTCCTAAACAACTTGCCTCCGGAAACTCTATGAACTTTGATAAATGTCGATACTTGGAGAGGGGTTTCAGGTCTTTTGTTAATTGGGCCGGGTCGCTATGAGTCGTGCTCAACTCGAAGGCAATCAACAACAACAACAACTACATAAACAATAGAAAATATAGAAAAGTGGCTAGTTTTGTAAACTGCCAAAAGTGGAAAACTTATTAGACCCAGGAAAACAAGGCAGTATTGTTGAGTCCCTGCTCTCACGGTAGTTTAGTTAAGACACATTATGCAAAAGTAAATCTACTTCTGGGTTATGTTAAAGATCAATTAGATCAGGGCCAAGCATTGTGACTTCTCATTCCGTGGGTGGTATTTAAGATCTCATGAAATTTTAGCAATGTTTCTCAAGCAGCTCACAATGGCCTCTGGAATTCCTTAGGCGTCATATACTAAGTGGTTCCCTGAAGAGAATCTATTTGTTGGAAAGTTTAAGTACTAGAGGAAAAGCATTAGTTCAGCCACTCTGGAACAACAGTAACAAAAATCTATTATACAAAGATGTGCCAGTAAAAGAAACTTACTTGGGACACAAACTATTCTAACAGTGTTACACTTCTTAGCAGGGTGTTATGTGTCACTTAAAAACATTGATTACTCTTAAAAACATTGATTACTAAGGCTCATCTGGAAACTATGAAAAGAAGAGAAATCGTATTGCTTTGCAGGAGGATTAAATGAGGTAATATATGCTCAAGTACTTGGTACTTTGAACACATTAAGTCCTTGATCCATAGATGCAGCTAGTAATGGAATTTTATCACTGCAAGGGATCTTTTCATTAGAAAAGCTATTTGAATCTCACAGATAATACTCAGGTTACGAGAGATGTTAATGTCACCAGTTGCTGTTGCTGCTGCTGTTATGTGCCATCTAGTCAGAGTTAACTCATAGAGGACCTTCTAGTATGTTTCAAGAGGCTGTAAGCCACATGGGAGGATACTGCCCATCTATCTCCTTCGGAGAAGCTGGAGGATTTGAACTATGACCGTGTGCCTTCAGTTAACAGCTCAACAACTTACCACCAGACCGCCCTTCACCATTAATACATGAAAAACAATCAGAAAATCCTAAAAATTTCCCACCAGCCTGGGGATTTTTCTGCAAGTTTACACACACAGAAGAATCAAGTCATCTTTCCTTCCTGAGAAGGCAAGGCTCCAGGTAGGTCACTTCTAAAAAAGTACACATTTGATTTGTAAGAGGTTACACCACCATACACTTTGATAAATGTTCCTTTCTCACAGGTGGTGTGGGATCCAGCTGGATTTCTAGTAAAGCCTGGCCTACTATAGACAAGAGTTTTCTGGACTAGGCATTGGGCACTCACACCACCTACATGGCTCTAGTCAACCCAGGAGGATCACTCAGATTGCCAAGGACCCTGACAATGAACATTTCCCAGCCTGAGGCTTAAGAACAGTCATATACGCAGGGGATGTGTTTGCAGCTTGCTGGAAGCCAATCTATTTTCACATGGATAGTGTAGTGCTTGCTCAATCATTTCCTCTCCAGAGGCCTTGAGTTAGCATTTCCCCTCCTCAGACCCAGAGTCTATAAACTCCAACCTCGTTTATAAGCTAACGGTCCACACAGGGCCTAGATTCATTGAGACCAAGGGAGGAATGACATAACCCATTTTCCAACAGAAGATATGCTGACTGAGGCCATGTTCAAACAAATCGCTGGCACAGCCAACACAAATCTTAAGGGTCATGAAAAACAACATTCAAAAAAGAGGTTTCTTCAACCAGTTGACAATGTTCGACCAGGATCCAGCAAGGTTGACACAGAGTCCCCTGGACCTGAGCCCAGCCCTCTGCTGTTAATGGTTAATTCTGAGTTGTGAGTGGAGGAAGACGCCAACCTACCATCACTGCTTCCCCGGAGGACTACATCTGGGGAGGGTGTCTGCCGGGAACGGGAGCCGAAGGAATCCAGGCTGTCGAAGGAATCATCTCTGCCGTGCCGAGGGGGCGAGAGGGAGTCGCTGCGTTCCGAATCCCAGCAGTCGATGTAGCCACTGTCTCGAATGCTGCGCTTGGGACTCTCAGTGTCATCAGTCTCCTGCCAGAAACCAAAACAACACAATTTGAGGCATCATGATAGAAGGTGTGGTCCCTAAAGTATCAGCAAATGTGGTGGTCTCTCCCCCAGCACCAAATCCTGCAGATCCCCTCCATGTGGGAATGTCCACGGAGCAAGCTCCTGGAGGAGGGATAAGCATCTCTAAGTCATCAGAAAATCACACTCAACATTTCCCAAAGAAAATGCCCAAATCAGAGACCTTATAATGATTTTTTAAAAAAACAACAAAACCAACCAAACAACCCCAAAACCTCAAAACTCTCAATCCAACAAATCCCAAAAAACAGAAGGCTTAATAATGGGTCATAAAGTTTTGATTCCTAAGACAACAATGACAGATGGAAACACACACATGAAAAGCTAAGACCGTAACCTTGACCCGCCTCTCGGAATCCATAACTGCATGTCTGTCCTGGGAACCAGCCCCCAGTTCAGTCAGCAACTGCTCCCGTGTCTCTGCTATCTGGCAAATGCACGCAGCCTTTCCTGCAGCAAAATCAGCTTGGTAAAATCCCGGAGCAGCATGCTTCCATCGCCTTCTACCTTGAACGGAAATTCCTGCTCTGAAAGGGAGCTTCTTTCGGAGGCACAAAGTTTTGTCTTTTTTTTTTTTTTTAAAGAAGGCAATGAGAAATATGCAAAATGCTTTTCCTGATGCCTCAGAAGAATCCAGGCATGCTCTCAGCTCCGGCCAGCTCTTGGCGCTGGGGCAGCTGAAAGCACTTGTGGCTGACCCACATGTTCAGTGCAGTAAGAACAATGGCTGCCTTTGACAGCCTGTGAATATAAATTCTTTCCAGCACAAGCAGCACATACTAAAACACTGAAACTCCGGCAGAAGAAAAGGTCAGTCCAAGCCATCTTCACCCTCTTAATATAATAAAAGCCTTGTTCCTGCCAGTGTCTTAGCATTGATTACACTCGTCAGGGTGCAGGAAAACAAAAATAACTCTGGTCACTCAAAGATAAATCTCACTTTAATCTCCCCCAGACTGTCGCTGAAAATGAGGGTTGGGGATGACTCACGCCTGAAAAGACTGGACTGCAGACCGTGGACTTCCTGGGATATGAGGGACCGTCTCCCTCCACCTTCCAGATAGTAAGGAAAAAGAGATATTCTGCATGTTATGATTTTTGAAATCTGGTCTAAACTGTCCAGAATGCCCCCCAGAATGAATTCCTTTGCAAGAAGTGTCTTTGTGGGTTGCTATTATCAAGCCTTTTCAGACCCCTGACTCACTTCCCAGAGGGAGGTTTGGAGGAGGGAGGAGACTCACTGACTTGTAATTCACAAGCTACACACACAAGGGAACCAGTGAGGGGCCAGGCTAGAAGCGGGCACCCTGCAGTTTCCACACAGCAGGAGTTATTGGTGCTTCTGCAAAATATGTTGTCAAATGGTTCAGGGGGAGCAGATCACTATGGTTTCCAAGAGGCAGGTGGACATTCCAGTTATGGAAATCAAGGTAGTTTACTTCTAGGTCAAAAGTTAACAGGGACTTGAATGAAAGGCTGGACTAGTTTAAGAAGGAAGCACCCATGACTTCCTGCAAAGAATACATCTCAACTGCATATGAGTTCTTACTTAGCTTCTTGGAAATGCAATTTTCTGGGATAATTTATCTACTGAGAATTAGCGACATGGGTTAAAAAAATTATGAAGGTCCCTTTTATTAAATTCTGCGTGTCTGGGGCTGTATTAGGGTGTGTGTGTATGTGTGTGTGTTGTCGAATCGCATCCAATTGGCACAGGAGGAGATTGCCCCTCCTTCTCCAGCAGACCATCTGGTGGATTTGAACCATTTGCCTTTGGGATTGCAACACAGCTTCTTGCCACTAGGTCAGCAGAGCTCCCTTTGATGGAGTTTTTGTATGTTATATTAGAAACAGAGTGTAAGTGCAACTAGAGTGCATCTTAGAGGCAAGGATGGTGAAACTTCACCTCATGTACATTGGGTATATTGTCAGTCCTTGGAAAAGACAACATGCTGAGTGAGGTGGAGGATCAGAGAAAGAGAGGAAGACTCTCAACAAGATGGACTGAAGCAGTGACTGTTACGATGAACTTGAATTTATTAGAGCTGGTGACAGTGGTGCAGGAGAGGACAAGGCTCAGATCTATTCACAGTTACTATGAGTGGAATCAACTCAATGGCACCGAACAATAACAACAACAAGAATAATACGATTACTTCATCTGCACAACTGTGGTTATTGTTTACTCCATTTATGGAGGAAAGAAATGAGGTTCAGGGAGATTAAGCCATTCAAGGTCAAACAGCGACAAAGCTGGAACCGAGGCACAAAACTCTGCAATCAAATATCAAACAGCAAAACCTGAAAATGTTTGGTGCAATTACAGCTACTGCCATTAGCATCACCCCCCTCGTGACCGGATAATTACTTGTCTCCGTACTCTGTGGATGAGGTTGACCTGGTCTCTCAGCCAAATGTCATTCGTGTCCATGCAATAAATGTCACACGAGACAGGCAGTTTAGGGTTATGGTTTCAATGTAGTCTCCTGAACCAGATGGACTTCGCTGCAATCCTGGTTCCACCACTTACTAACTGTATGACTTTTAGGCAAGTAATTTCAAGCCTCGGTTATCTGTAGCATAGGCTAATATTAGTACTATCTCACAAGGTTTCTTGGAGGATTAAATGTGTAATACATGGCAAGCCTACAGAATAAAGGCCTGATATATAAATATATCAAAAGCAAAGAGAGTGTTAGTGAGTTGAGTCCAATTCACAGCACTGTTGTAGGGCAGAGTAAAATTGCTTCTTAGGGAGGGTTTCCAATGTTGGAAATCTTTACAGAAGCAGATTGCCGTATCTTTTCCCCCTCAGAGTGATTAATGGGCTCACTGCTGACCTCTTGGTTAATAATTGAGTGCTTAACTATTGTACCACCAGAACAAAAATAATTAATAAAGCAACCAGTTCAATAACACTGAGTTGGTTCTGATTCATAGCTGACTGACGACCACCTTCCAATCAGCTTTCTGAGGGTATGAATTGGCAACAGGAAGAGACTATCCATCTTTCTCAAGTAACCTCTGGTGGCTTGGGTGACTTGGGCTAGCAGCAAAACTTATTTTGGGCTTCCCTACCAATACTCCCTAGTGTGCTACCAGGGCACCCCCTAAAGTATTAAAATAACTCCTGATAGTCATCAAAACGGAACTCATAGCTAATGTTGTTGTTGTTAAGTGCCGTTGAGTCGCAGGCGACTCATAGCGACCCTATGAAGGAAAGTCCTCAACGCTTGGGTGTCTCTTGTCCTCTCTCCAGGTTCATAGGGTTTCTGGAGGCAACTATTATGGAAGTGGATGCCACTCCTGCTTCCAAAATAGCTAATAGAGAAGCCAAATCTAAAGGAAAGTATGCCGAAGTAAAAGAGCTGAACAGAGATTTCAAAGGGCAGCTCAGAAGAACTAAGCAAAGTATTATAATGGAATGTGCAGAGAGCAGGAATTGGAGAATAAAAAGAGAAGGACTCACCTTGAATTTCTCAAGCTGAGAGAACTGAAAAACAAATTTAAGCCTTGTGTTGCAATATTGAAAGATGCTATGAGTATATATTGAATGACTCAGAAAGCATCAAAAGAAGATGGAAGGAATATACAGAATCACTGTACCAGAAAGAATTGATGCACACTGAAAAATTTCAGGAAGTGCCATATGAACAGGAGCCAATGGTAACGAAGGAGGGAGTGGAAGCTTCCTTGAAGACATTGGCAAAAAATAAGGCCCCAAGAATCAATGGGATACCAATTGATTGAAACTAATTGGTTTCAAGTAACAGATGCAGCCTTGGATGTGCTCACAAGTCTATATCAGGAAATTTGGAGGATTGCTATTTGGCCAACAGATTAGAAGAAGTCCTTATTTGTTCCCATTCCCAAGAAAGATGATATAACTGACTGTGGAAACTATTGAATAACATCGTTAACACCACATGCAAGCAAAATACTGCTGAAGATAAAAAAAAAAAGAATGGAACAGTTTATAGACAAGGAAATTCCAGAAGTTCAAGCAGGATTTAGAAGAGGCCGTGGCACCAGGGATACTATTGCTGATGTCAGATGGATCTTGGCTGAAAGTAAGGAGTACCACAAGAATGTCTATTGTGCTTTATTGACTATGCAAAGGCATTTACTGTGTGGATCATAGCAAGTTGTTGCTTACATTGAGAGGAATGGGAATACCAGAGTACTTAATTGTGTTTATGCAGAACCTATGCCTGGATCAGGAGGCTGTTATGCGAATAGAGCAGGGAAACACACTGAGAAGGGAATGCATCAGGGTTGTATACTCTCTCCATATCTATTAAATCTGTATGCTGAGCAAATTATCCAAGAAACTGGAGTCTATGAAGAGGAGAGTAGACTCATCAATAGCTGTGTTATGCAGAGGACACAACCTTGCTTGCTGAAAGTGAGGCTTGAAGCACTTATTGCAGAGTATCAAGGAATGCAGCCTTCAGTATAGATTGTACCTCAATTTCAAGAAAACAAAGATTTTCTTTACCCCTGGACTGAGAGGAGACCTCATGATGGATGGAAAGGAGATTGAAACTGTCAACTATTTACTCTTACTTTGATCCATGATTAACATCCTTGATACCAGCAGTGAGGAAATAAGAAGATGCATTGCACTGGGAAAATCTGCAATTAGGGACCTCTCCAAGTTATTGAGGAGTAATGACATCACTTTGAGGACTAAGGTGTGTCTGATTCAGGCCATAGTCTTTCTGATCACTTTCTATGCATCTAGGAGCTGGACAATGGATAAGGATGACGGAATTGACCTCTTTAAGTTGTGGTGTTGCTGGAGGAGCACTGAACATCCCATGGATGGCCAAGAGAACAAACAGATATGTCTTGGAGAGGGTGCAGCCAGAGAGTTCTTTGGAGGCAAGAATAATGAGGCTTCACCTTATGTACTTTGGGTATATTGTTAGGATGAGCTGTTC